GATTTTTATAAAAATCATTTTAATTAGTTTAGAGGATGGAACACCCGAGATGGACCAATAGGTCCATGTTGTCCCAAAACGTTTTATGATAAAATGATATTTCTTTGATAAGTCAGTCTCGAAGAGAATGCTTCATGAATATAGTCAGGTTACTAAAATAAACAGATATTAAATTTACGACAAAACAAGATGTTCTGTTACCAACTGGAGTACACAAATTTTAACAACTAAAACATCAGAAAGCTCACAAATAAGTTTGTTTTTAACCTTTACACATTATTAGAAAGCCATCAGTGACTTTTAAAATAGTTGAATGTTTCATGGTAACTATGAAAAGTTTCACCACATTCCAAGTTTAACAACACTGATGTGTACTGAGAAAATAAACCAAACAAATTACATTTTGGAGTTATGAATTTAGATATGATATATACATGTATGGCTGTAAAGTTTATTATGGGGCTTTTAAAGTCTTTAAAAGGTGAAAATGTATTTATGTTTGATGGTTAAAAACAACATTAAATGGAAGTCTTGTATCATCTAATGTATTTTGCTTCCAACTGGCACAGTAAACAAGTTAGAAAAAACTTGATTTTCTGTTGAGTAATATGTATTTGATCTTACTATATTAGTGGGGGGTTTCTTCTTATCAGCTTCCCCATGTTTCTTCTCAACAACTTCTTTTAGTTTAGCTTCATCCCAATTTTCCATGGAGTCTGTAGTCAAATAATAAGAAATACATAACATGAGAGCTAGGTTCAATGAAATATCTAAATGCATCTCTTTGTAGCAAAGCTAATAACAAAAACAAGTAAGTTCCTCAAAGTTTAAGTGACAAACATAACAGAAATATAACATGAAGTAGCAGAACATATTGAGCAATGTAATTGAAGGCCATTTGGCTCATTGAGTTCATTCCCCCCACCAACAAAAACTCAATGTAGCCCTTCACATCAATATACCTAATCACCAAAAATTTCAAATATTCAATGAAAAGCATACACTATATTATTAAACAAAATGTTTAATAAGTTTATAATTTTCACATATAAGTAGTTCTGTTCAAGAACAAATCAGGATCTGAGCATTGACTGTTTGTACTTATCACCACTAGCTGAGAATACTTGTCAAGGAAGCAATAATTGTATAAAGGACATACATATTTATATAATGTTCCTCTTCCTTCTTTCTTGTACTATTAAATTCCTAATAACCTCATTAGATGCTAATTGTATACTCTGCTTTGTGGAAAGTAATAACTGACTCTTTGAACTGATCAATTTCACTCGATTAATCCATTAGTACCACACCCTCTACAATCAATACAAGAAAAAAAAAGTATGTGCTTATTCCTTAATTTTTTCAACCACTGCATTATTCTGACATGGTATTATTTTCATTTTTTCTTTTACTTTGATTTGTTTTGATTTTTTTAGCTAATTTTCAAATTAACCTTAATTTCACATGATAGACCTCTTCTGAAGGTTGCCATTTGCACATTTGTTTGTCAAAAAAACTATTTTCCAACAAGTTTTATGTTCATTAATCCCACATTGATCCTCTCTAAATCAAAAGTTATACTTAAATATATAAAACCTGTTTTACTCTCACAATAAGGGTAATATTATTTTTATTTAAAACATGTCACAATTACAAGTAATTAAGTAGCCAGTTAAACAATTTATTTATGCATGTTATTTGAACAGGATAACCTTATTAAAAACAATATTTAATAAAGATTTGAGATCACAATATTTTGTAATCACCTACCATATTCACTAAACAGTAAACTTATATAATTTGATGACAACTTTTTATTTGGTGAACATATTAAAAATCCTCATGTTTACAAACACTGGAACTTAATAAAACAGTAATTTTAAACAAAGAGCCAAAGATCAACAAAATACCTTTATTATGCCTTCAGCAATTGTCAATTATGCAACTTCTTTGCTTCATACTACATATACATATAGGTAAACTACTTAAACCTGATGATGACAAAACCTTTCCAAACACTGTACATTCATTACTGTGCTAAAATTTTAATAAAAGTTTTCTTTGTTATCCATCCAACCCATCTTTAAACTGTATAAGCTTATCTACCTTATCTTATGTCTTCTCTTTGAAGAAAATTGCTGTAGCTTTCAAACAGATAAAATTTTATACCCAAATACTTTCAAATTCACAACAAAGGGAACAGAAAAGAAAGTTTACAGAGCTATAAAAACCTATATCTTTACTTTATTAACACATGATAGTCTAATTCTATGCTATATCCAATCATATTTAAACTTTCTTAATAAATGTTCTCAAAACTGTGTTTTACTATAAATCATTAAACTACTTTATGTGGCACTACAGCAAGGCTTCAACCAAGGCCTCTATAAAAAACTAGGGGAAATGTTTGAAAATTAAGAAATGGATAATACATTCTCACGTGGTGTTAGTTCTTAGAAAAATAAAGTTATTCTTTGGGATGGTAAAAAAATTCTAAAAAGAAATTGACAAGTAGGTCATTTTGTTTACAGGTAAAACTCTTTACAGCTGTTTAGAAACGAAAATATTAAAATTTTTCTTTACGAAATACAATAAGTAAATGACAGAATATGACAAAATATCAATCTCAAAATATTCTTGAGTTACAGTTACTTTAAAAATTTATGGCAAAAATATATGAAAAACTAGAGAAAACCTTGTCTTCAGGTGCAATAATGTAGGAGTAAGTTATTCTGTTCATCCTAAATTGTTGTACACAAAAATGTATCATACGTGGGTAGTAGTACAAAACCTGCAACAATCAGAAAATAATATGACTGATAGCATTCTATGGGTTTCTTCCAACAAATTTCCACAAGACTATAACACTAAAACTGCTGAATTTTTGTTGATGAAAAAAAAAAAACATTACTTTGTGACATTTTCAAGCAACAAATTTTTATATAACATTAATAAACTTTATCACCCTACAAATATCAAAAATAAAATATTTAAAAAAAAGGAATAGCTTCAGTTATAAGTCTACATCGTGTGCAAGTCAGGTAAATACTTCTTTCATTGCTGGAAATGCAATTATTTTTCATAGTACTTATGTTAAGAATTTTTCAAACATATGATTCATGACTGTTTCAAATTAAACATTGTTAAAAATCTATACTTTGGGAAACTGTAACTTCAAAATAGGGGTAACTGAGGATGTTTTTTTTTCTTCTTTCCTTCTTTCTTCTTTTTTTTTGGGGGGGGGGGCAATTAGACTACTAGTACTACTGATAAATGTACATTACTTTCATGGTTTTTTATTTATAACTATGCATAACTGGTAACTTTAGTTATAAGATTAATTACAAAGCCTATTATGACTAGCTCACATGGGTTGTAATCTAATGATTTCAAAACTTATATCTTTATTTCTAGTAACGTGATCAATATGAAAGTAAAAACAGTTAAAGACAAACATTTCATATCTTTTCATTAAAATTAAATATTTTTAATTACATTTTGAAAGAAAAACAATGTCTACACCTATATTCATATCTTAATGCTTGTAAACATGATATCTTTTTCAACTTTTTTTAAGTTGTCCCTTATACAGTCATAGCACTTGCATTTTCACTTATTTTGGACATAAATAATACGAAAACATCTTTCTCATGAGCATTATAATTTTCAAACAATGAAAAATCGATTTTATACTAAATATATGTTATAACAGCTACAGGTGACCTAAGCAATAATAACTGTAACTAGTTATGTCAAAATTTTGGTTGAAATAAAAGGTTTTTTATTATCATCTGGAGAGTAGAGGACTTTTTTTTTCTAACTTTATTACCAAAATGTCTAAACCCCTCCAGCATGCACTATAAATTCTGAAAAATAATGTTAACTTTGATGAAAACAAATCTCTATAGAGTCTAGAATGCATGCACATTGTTAATTCCCGGAAAAAGCCAAGGCCATAAAATTTATCAAGGAAACATTTAATTGACATTCGTATTCATTTAGGAATAATCAGTTACAGACTCCAGATATGCTAAATTAACAAAAAAATCAAATAAAGGTAATTAACAGACCAATCAAATAAACACTAACATCTAATATTTCTTTCTGATACTATTGGTTGTTTTCTAATTAATTTGTGGGAAAAAAAATGGAGGGGAGAGTTAAAACCCTCCCTTCCTAGATCTGAAACTACTTATACAAAATTAAATGATACAATTATAACTGTGAGTAAACAAAAAAAGCTAAAATGGATGGGGTTTCAACTCCCTTTGACCCTCCTTTAAATCCACGCCTATTCAAATACAACATTAAATAACATAACTATTACTTTCTGAAAAAAATGTATGGAGGTTTGCCCCCATGGATCCCTTCACTTTACTACAATTATTAATTGCTGACAAATATGGATGTTTAGACCACTTGGGCCCCTCCCTAGATCTGCCCATGCTTATACAACATGATAGTTATGCAATTGTAAGTTAGAAACATAACACAGTGTGAAAAAAAACACCAAAACAATAAATTTACACTTTATTTATTACTTAAGTAGCCAAAGAGAGTTGACAGTGGGTGCTACCAGCCAGTTGCTTTACCTCTAGTCAGCAGTTCAAAATTGGTACAGTGGCAGATAGTTTTAGTAGCTTTGCAATAACAAGGACAGGAATAGTAAATTTAATGGTAATAGGAATCACAAAACTCGTGTTACAGCCTTATACAGTTACATTCAAAATTTAATTAAACTACTTTATTATCATTGTAAGACAAATAAACTTGACATCAAAATGTAGTTAATAAATCAAGTTTTAATATTATACAAGTTTTAATTTTATAAGGAAAAATGTTTTAGAAATTTTCAATCTCCCATTGTATGAGAATTGTGACATTTGTTTTCTAGGTCTTCCCTCTTCTCTAACTTATTTATCACCCCTCTGAGAAGTATGGAATTTAATGTAAGTTACTCATTATAATATAGATATTACTAATGCAAAAAAAAATTTCATAGCCTTCAGTCTTATATGTTTATGGAGCCATAACCTAAAAAATCAGACTCATTTGCCACCTCCTCTCTTTCACAAATTGCAAGTAGTTCTCTCTGATGTTTTGTACTATATTATTTGTAACCAACAAAAAGACAAACTTTTAATCTATCAAATGACATGTTATACATCATTTTGTATGAACATTTCTCTCATGGTGTTCACGTTGACAAGCTTAGCTAAATTTTTAAAGGCTCTTATCACATAGTTAGAAAGCCAGATATATTATGATAGTTATAAAACATTGCTTTGTGCAGGTTATTACTATGTGTTCTTAGGTGTATTATTAAAGTAAAAATTATTTAGTGTACTAGTACCATCAGTATAAAAACGTAGGCTTAACTTTCATCGAAAGTTGAAAGGAAAAGAACAAGAGGACATAGGTAAGTACCATATTTCTTATATATATATTCTTTATTTATAATTATAAAAGTAACTAAAATGTAAAAATTAGAAACTTCTTAGGTCAAATAAGGTTAGATAATGAAAAATAATAATAATTATTCACAAGGTCTGCTCATGAACAGCTTGTGCATTACATAATTCAATATGGTAATTTCAGCTATGAATTTGCTAAGTAATTTACTTTGTGTGGTGGGATTATTAGTTAGAAATGAGTCAAAGTACATTAAAATAAGTATAAACAGATGTATACTGTTACACTCTTAAGCTTTTTAGGA